AGAGCCTTTTTGTACACAGTAGTTGTTTCTCGTAGTCATAGCGATCGACTCAAAAGCTTGAGATTGAGCTATTTTTTTTAGCGTGACAGAAGGTTTTGTAGTGTAATGGATAGCACACGGGATTTTGATTCCCGTAATCTGGGTTCGATCCCCAGCAAGACCTAACCCATCTCTCCGATCTTTTGTTTCGGTTCATCTGCCGTGATTTTTTGATATTGGCTTCAAAGCGCAACACATGTAACAAATGTAACAGGTTTTTCCCGGTAATGCTCATCAACGGTTTTGATCTCTTTTTACTGTCACCCTTTTTAGCCGGTTCAATTCTTTGGCCGCGGCCGTACTAATCCAATTTTGGTTTGGTAACCTGGATTCAACCCCTCTCTCACTTGGTTTATCTGCTTGGCTCGGGGAACAGAGAACAGTGTTGCCTTTCTGAGTTGGACTTTCTGCTCGCATCTACCAGATATTTGTAAAGAAAACATGAAAAGGTGGTCATTTATCATCAAAAGACACCAAGGTGTACCGTTACGTACCCCTAAACTCGTGTGATGTAAAGTGATGCCTGGTGTCAGGCGGGATGGTGTCATGTGAATGGAGACAACACCTGAGACTCGAGTGACGACAGTTAAGTGAGACAAATGATGTTACAAAACCTCCCCAGCTTTCTCTGCTTTATTTCCTTTACGTTTGTTTATTTTTCTTATTTTTCTTATCTTGGCCCTCACAGCTTGGAGTCATCTACTATCAACCGGAATCTAATCTTTAATCTGTAATCTGCGCAATCGCATCTCATCTAATCTCTTGTACCTGCCTCAGCTGCACGGCAACTCCCGCATCCGGCCGAACACAACGCGTCCCCCCCATACTTTAATCATTGATACCAACTTACCATCATCTCACGATATCACCCCCTCAATTCGACATATCCACAACCATAACTACCAGCAATGACATCTCCACTTTACAACACAACATATACTCTCCACCGCCTCTCGCCTCTCAACTCCTTCCCACCAATCTCCCCCGACACTCCTCCAGCTCCCGGCTCTTCACAAGACCCCAAGCTTCACACACGCTCGCTCCTCTCCCTCCTCCGCGGCGACCGCTTACGAAATGTGCGAATCGACGACCAGTCCGACACAACACTTACGCGCGCAGGCCGCCCAAAATCAGTAACCTGGACACCTTTCTCCCATAACGATGAAGACACACCCCGTGGTGTCGCAATTGAATTCATATATGAAAACATAACCTATACCTCCCTCCTGCTCTCGCCACCTCCTGGACGCAAAACTACTACATCAGCTACAACAACACTTCTCCCACTTTTGCTAACCCGCCTACCAAAATTGCTTCGTGAGATATTAATCAACTACCTCTCGACGACTTTCGATACCCTCGCACTACCACTCCCACTTGACTCCGAGACCCTTAAGTCACTTCTGGAGTCATGGCTTGAAACTACTATGGCTGCTGGTGGGACAGGAGGGAGAACGAGTATACAGCTCGTATTCTCGCCTCCACCTCCAGCAGGGACATCATTGAAAGCTATAACGGTAACAGTAGAGCGTGCGGATATAGAGGGTTTCTATAGACGTGGGTTGAAGCTTCTGGCCACTGGAGTTGGTGTGAATGGGGCTTTTTTTGAGGGCCTGGGGTGGTATATGAGAGGGAGCATGGGGATCGAGGTTGACGCGTTGCGTCTGCTGAAGATCGCTTGTGGAGGCTTTGTGGTTGGCGGTGGCGTGGGTGGGGGCGCGGGAAAGCTCAAGATCTTTGAGAATGGGGAGGAGGGCGCGGGTATGGATGTGGTTATGGGAGTAGTGGAGGCGTGTCTGGTTGGGCTCGATGGGCTTGACGGGAAATGAGAGGTGTTTTTGTTTTCTTCCTTCTTTCTTTCTTGTTATATCTTATTTGGGATGGGGTCGGGGCTGGCGTAATCGAATTGGGAACTTGAATGGGGGGATATTAATTAAACTGGACCTGGGTTTGGGATATTAGCTCACAGCCTGTCAGAACCGTTGCTGTCCGGGCTGTATAAAACTATAGCGCTCTAATCTACGTATAGATTGTTGATAAATGCTCAAGTAGTAACATAAATAAATATATAATCAGTCAAGTTAGCTAGCTACATGCTTTGATATACTTTTCATATCTGATACTTTATTTTCGTCCCTGTATCGTACTATACAGGTGTTATTTTAGGCAAACCTGCCCGACGTTTAACTGTTCACGTGTTATCACTCGTCACATCATGTTGAATCGGGATGAGTAATTCTAACGAGAAGATCATTTAGCGCAAGACGAGTCCCACCGTAATAGAAGGAATTTACATGTAATTGTGGCCTCTTCTGGTACTGTCTAGGTGCCAGAAACTTCAATGCTACATGCCGCGTGAGCCACGTATCATCACTCGTATCCCTATATATCTCATTAATACCTCTTATTCCTTTAAATTACTATCAATAGCTTACTCCCTCAACCTCTTCTTCATCTATTTGCATCCAGATATTTATTAATTATGGTACATCCTTATATAAAAAAAGTTTCAGCCTGGCTCTGTCTTTATGTGATCGTCCGTTTATGCATTTACGCTCTGACACTTTATCGATCACATTCACCTATAACCGAACAGATATCGATATGGGATATACTTTCAGTCACGGGACAACAAAAGTACAATGGTAAAAAGGCTCAGCAGTAACTTCTATTGAAAAAAAGAACTATTTCTAACAACTGATATATGTCTCAGACTCTAAAACTCGACGATTGGAATTGTTGATGCGTGCAGAATAAACTACTCGTAGGCTTATGCCCAAGCCTCCATCACTATTACTTGCAATTGGGTATGTATACATATGTATAGGAAACTTCATTCATATTAATCAATAAATTACTAACAAGACATAAAATCATCCTAGGAAACTCTTACCACCATCATTACCACCATTATTTATCCCTATCAACTTAGGCAAGCAACACGATTACTTCAAACACGATTACTTCAAACACGATTGCTTCAAACACGATTACTTCAAACACGATTACTTCAAACACGATTACTTCAAATAGACATTCAAATACGATTACATGAAAGACAATTACTTCAGAACACAGAACAGCATACGCAGAGCAAGCATTCAAATAAATATTCAAACAGAACACCCAGGCAGAATAGAACACGCAGAACAGAACACACCGAGCTAGAATCCAAGAATCGATCAATTGATCAAACAAAAAAACAACAATATTAATTCAATACACTAAGTTAAATGTGGTATATGCCTAATGCTTGTTTGGTCTATGGTTCCTGCTGCGGTTGCAACGCGCAAAGCAGGCACATAGACTAACCATGCCAGCGGGCAGTTCTGCTGGTCAGAACGAAAGTACCCCATCTAATAAGCTTGATTACCATATATACCATTCTCATCTTAAAATTCCGGCCTCAAATATTTTCATTGGTCGATTGCACTATAATAGATTATATTCAGCGATACTCGATATAAGTGATGGGACTAAAACTCAGGCGTCACAATCTGGCTCAACATGAATACATTGCTCATCATTAGTACGTTGTATTTCCTCATCTTTTGATTGTATTTTGATTCATCTAATTTATCTAGCCAATTAGCATATATGCATAGCGACCTTATCAAAGATGCACCGATTTCGCTTTCTAACTAATGGTGTCATGAGATCACGACGATCCTGTTAGGATGGTAAAGGCCTCACATAACTGGCGACATCAACTACCCATCAATAAGACAAAACTGAGATTCTCTTCTACTAGCAATAGATGACACTCGTGAGCTAAAGGCCTTGGTCAACAGAATAAAACACTATAATTTATGCCATTGGGTATGAGGTACAACCTCAAGCCCGACTTGGCCCTATCAACAACAGCAAAGATTTTTCTCAATCAGAACGAGTCTGGAGATCTCTACATCCTCTTTAAACTTATCCGTAGCTGGCTGATTGCACAGATAAGGCAGGATGTGACGGGCCAATGGCAGGTTGTGACGGATCAAGGGTGAACCTTGAGTCCGCGATTAAGGCTAATAGTCAATTGTTAAAATTGATATTATTTTTACCCTCAAGTATACCTTGAGTCTATTCATGTACAATACACGTCAATAAAAGCATTTATTTCTATAGACGTTTGGGGGACTCGTCCTTGAACTAGAAATGCAATTCAATAACTTATCTGAACATCAGTTGTCCCTTACAAACAGCGATATCACTTCACCCAAAGAATCATCGATGGGAATATTTCAATCTTCATTCGAAGCAGTGTAGTAGCATCCGCCAGTTGAAAGCCTTATCGATTACCAAGATTAAGGGAAGTTAAGCCATCCTCGTACGAACAGCTTTCTGCCCACCATCAAGTGGGAGGGTATGTGAACGAGACTAAGTTAAGCATAATCGGTCTGAAATGGAGTTATGCCTACATAGAGTAAAATCTTTATTACGTGCTTGACACACCATCTATGTATGGTGCACATTGAATGTACATTGGGCGCATATGAAGGTTAACCTTGACTAGTTCGGTGGCTCCTACAAACCGCAGAGCTGCAGTAGGGCCGCATTTTCGCCCCCACTTCATACTCAAGAGGTTCTCAGTACCTAAATACTGTGTAACGAGGGAAGTATTTACCTTCAACGTTATGAGGATGATCACTCCTAGAATAACGTAAAGTAGATAAAGATAATGGGCAAGTAGCCACATAGCAATATGTAGGGTGAATACGCCACTTAATTGCTTTTTTTTTGTTTCTCACCCAGTGCTAACCCCTCAGCCGCTCAAAAAGTGCAAGAAAGATAAAAGGAAGCTGGTAGCCTTGGATTCTATGTTAGGTTCCCCATCGATTCTCTTTGAAGTTACAATGTCTAACGAATCCCTGAGCTGCCGCGACGCGAAATAGACCGATGTTGGACTCTTTTTCCTTGTGAATATCCTAGCTCATACAGCGACTCTTCCAGCTTCTCCTGGAATTAGTGTCATGGAATATCTGGAGGTGGCACTATTCTCATTGATAGTCCCTTATTATGGTGTTGGGCGAGCACTACGTATAATCAAGCGCGGCGCAATTTGGGTAGGGGATCCACTCCAACAAGCAGCAAGAGCAGAAGCTCTTTGCGTTGTCGGGAAAAATTGGCAATTTAAAAAGCCAACCCGTGGAATAGTGGTGATGACAGCAGGTGATGTGACCCATGAGCGAGACGTTGATCGTTTTAGCTTGAAAAATCGCTCCCGTAAGTCTACAAACATGTTAACACTCAACTGCACAATTTGAACATAAACACTACTAATTCTAATTCCATGAACTAGACTATAGACTGTTCGTGCTAGAACAAACATGCCGCAAGATCAACTTGAGGACTGTTCACGGAAACCGTTGTTTGACGGATGAGTACGCCCTTTATGCACTTGGTCGATATCAAGTCGAAGAACTCTCCCTCGAGAATGCACAAAATTCCAAAGAGTTCAAGCTTGAACTTCCTTGCAATCACAGTTTCGTCAAACCTGCGATATCCCTTGTTCAGATTATCTACTCCTCGATAAGTCTTTACCAAAACAGTAAGACTCAGTTCAATACTGCTGGCTTCGGTGCCTACACTTTTGTTGGAATCCCGTTTATCCTCATGTCTTTACTCAACCTCCTGGCAGCTATCTGCTCTCCAGAATATCCATGTTATTACTTGCTAGAATCAGACCTCATGGACGAAGCGAGAAATAAGGGCTGTGAATTCAATGGCACAGTCGGTAAAATCAAAAAACCTGTATCAAATCCTTCACGAAAAGGCTCAAGAACATACGTCTCGCCAGAGCAGGCAGAAAGAGGCGGTTGGGAGTTCAATATAGTCAATAAGTCCAATAACCCATTTTATCGTCAGATAGTAAGATTTCATACCCTCTCATTCGCACGCCGAACACGATTTGACATCTAGGGACGATCTTAGGGGCTTGAAACGCTGGGAGCGTTACAACCTCGCCGGAAATACACCAGGGATACCGTGTTAGAAATCATCCGCCAATTCCTAGACTTGGTGTTATCAGTGGGCCATTCATCCTCGTGGTCGTCTTAACCCGGTTTGAAAAGGGGGACAGTACCTTCTCCGAGCGGGCTTGGCTTACGATCTGGCTCCCGTTCAACTTTCTTCTGATGCTTCTGGGCTCATACTCCGTGATTAGCCATAATGGGGTCATCGTGAATTATGTGGCAGATAAGGCGCCGGAGTGTTACGGCAAAACTTTCGACTCTTTCAAGCTCGCTTTCTCTGTATTAGCAATCTATTTTATCCTCGCAGGTCCAGCTATCTGGGTTTTTTGGGTTACGGGGAAGTCGATTATGGAGCATCAAATTTGCGAATCAAAGTAGTGACGATTACACAGCAGCTTCCTGATTCTATTTTCAATCTGAATGACAGTGTCAGCGAAGTCCTCAAATTCAGCGGTTATATGAATTTGAGCGGTTGTGGTGGTGTCCGCTCCGCTACGAATAATAGAATCCTTGATCAAAGTCGGAGTCAATTTGCACGAAATATCACTCGGCCATTTATACTGGTTGTAGTATCACTACCCAATATGGTCGTAGACATCAGAAGGATCAAAGTCCGTGAATATGATTAGACAATTTATATCTTCGAACCCCAGTCAATTTCTAATCCTTAATAACCTTAACCCCAGGGACTACCACCACCAATCCTATCGACTCAACATCGAAAGTCAAAAAATCGAATTAGGCAGCGTAACCACTTTTACATTACAAAAACAAGCCTTGATAATTAATACCCCCCCATGATAACACCGTATATTCCCCTCTACAAGCACCGAACACAGTACGGGCCCGGTCCCCCAGAGGAAAGGAAGGAGGGAAAAAAAAAAAAAAAAAAACCGAGGGGAGAAACACTAAACTTTAAAAATACGATTTTTGCTAATTGTATTCGACCTTCCCACCCTTAACCTACAACACGCCCCAACCATCCGTCCACCTAAATATCCCAACATAAACTCTGCTCAACGCAACTCAACTATCCACCGTGCAGTTATTTGCTCAACGCTTGCATAGATAGTTTCAACACACAAAGATGACAAAGGAGAATTGAGAGTTCTGATTCAACACTACAAAGAAATAGTAATATTCAAATAAGAGCACGGTTTTTAAATCCAGCGACGAAGAGAAGAAAAGGAAAAGGAAAAAAAAGAGGGTGGACATTCGAGGCTAGATCGGATCAAGGGGGGGGAATAAAGACTAAGAAAAAAACAAAAGACAAGGAAAGGTAGAATAGCCCCTCCTCAGGCTGCGGAGAAGGGGGTCGCGTTTGTAAACAGCATAAAAGAAATAACAGAAGAAAGGCTTTCGTAGAATTTTTCAAGTTTCCAGCTTCACTATCAATCAGCTCTCTCTTGGAGAGGACAAAAGACAAGAAGCTACAATTACTACCGCCACCAATCATCCACTTAACAACTCCCCTCCGAACTAACTGGGTATCACAAAAGAGGTAATTAGTTCTTTCTAACGTAGTGAGAAACCCTTCCTCTTTCCCTTTTCTTCCAGAGGTCTTCCACTCTCGACCCTGGATTTCTTTTCCTCGAGTTCGATCCTCTGTCTCTCGAGTTGCTCCTTCATCTCCCTGTGGCGGTCGTATAGCTCCTGTTCTGATTGTCGGAGCTTGCTTTCCTTCTCTGCAACCTTCTGCTGGAACACCATCTTCATCTCCGCCTCCATCTTCGCGAGCTTCTGCTCGTGGAGCGTTCGCTCCTCTTCCTGCTTGACAGCTGGGTTGACTTCTTTGAACACGCTCGGGTCTTGGGCAACACCCATAGCGGTAAGCTTCTCTGAACGGTAGTTCTCGTACAGGAAGTTGTTTGTGTGCTCCTTGAGCTCCTCCATGTGCGTGCGAATCAACATCTGGCGGAGCTTGACAAAGTCACAGTGCTCCTCGTTGTCCACCTCAATGATACCCCAAGGGTAACGACGACCGCGAACTTTGCGACCATCAGGGTTTGTGACCTCGCTATTGGCACCGACTACTGCAAAGGGGACCTTGGACATGATCTCGTTGTTCTCGGCAATCGTCTCATCATCATCCAGCTCGTAACGGGGTCCCTCGAAGATCTGAATCTGATGGTGGTTGATATCTGCAAGAATCTACAAGGAGCTATTAGCCAAACGATCCGGACATAAAAACAAATTTATATCAAAAAACATACCCTCTTCTTGAAATCGGCAATCTCCTCATCTGTCAAAGTATCGGCCTTTGCAATAACAGGGATCAAGTTGACCTTGGTATGCAGTCTCCTCATAACCTCGATATCCAAGGGCTTCAACGCGTGTCCAGTAGGCTGAATGAAATAAACACAGGCGTGTACCCTGTTGTCTATGATGTTAGAACGGTTGACTTTGTTCTCCGCATCTAGGTAAGCATCGAATCGCTGTTCGATGTTATCAACGATAGGGCGCCATGACTCGTCGTTGTTAACGAAATCTCCGAAGCCGGGGGTGTCTACGACAGTAAGACGTAGACGAACACCATTCTCCTCAATATCGGCAGAGATGGATTGGATAGACACGGTCTTTGGGATAATGTCGAGCGAAGGTCCCTTGCGCTCCTTTGGTGGGTAGAGGGAGGTGTTGAACAGGGTGTTTACGAGGGTAGATTTACCCAGTCCAGATTCACCTGCAATTAACCGAATTAGAATTGTTGTTCTTCGTTGGTGACGCGAGTAGCCGAGGGCATCTCATTCTGCTTTTTTCCCTTGTTTTTTCGGAAATGTTCAGGGGTTGCCAAAAAGGGGCCACGACTAAAATTAAGCTTAAATGAAAAAAATGAAAATAACACATACCAACAACCATAACATTGAAGTTGAATCCCTTACGGACACTCTTTCGGTGCCACTGGTTGGGCAAGTTGGCGAAACCAACATATCCGGTCAACTTCCGCCTGACGATGTTCTTGCCATCTGCCTGGGCAGCAGCCTGAGCTGCCAGCTTAGGGTTGGTAGACTGAGCTGCTACTGGGATAGGTGGAGGTGATCCACTAGGAGACTGAATGGGGGACTCGGGGGGCGAGATTTCACTTTCGACAGCTGTAGCTCGCAAAGAGGATTTTATTAGCTTTGACATTTCTTTTATTCGACAAGGTAGTTGGAGAAGAGAAGAAGCAACAGCGGGGTAAGGCTGCAGATGAGTATTATATAGGTATGATGATGATGTCAAGTAGATGCCAGGCGATGCTTGGATGCAGCTCGAAGCGGGATTGGCTGATGTTTATCAAGAAACCTCATCGAATCGCGTTTCCATCCATTCATCCACTGATGATCCACCTGACATCCATTACCATCATCTTCAACCCGCATCTGTATTCCTGCCCTCTCTATGCCGCTACCGCTGTTGCTGCTACTCTGCTGCTGCTGAATCCCGGGGCCAGGCACACTCACCCATGGTGTGCTGTAGTTTAATCCTTTGTGCTTATGCGGTCGAAGGAAGATAAGGTGGGGGAAGAATCTATAGATCAGAGTTTATTGTTAGCTACGGACACAACACGCGGTAGATAAATGAAAAGAACGATACCCGCTAGATGCAGGTAATCAATCTGGCAATGACAGCAAACAAAAGATAGATTATGGAGCCTCAATACAATTGGGTAGGGGAAACAGCACTCAAAAAAACAAATGAGGTAAAAAGCAGGTCAGGAGACACCACGTAGACACACGGGAAAGCAGTGTGTAGTACCTACAAAAATGAACAATTGCCGGAACGTTATGGGGAGTGAAAGCGAGAAGAGAAAGAAAGAACAAGATAATAAACAAACGAAGCAAGTAGGTAAGCAGTGCCAGGGAAAGGAAGCTACCTCTTCAATTAAGGACTGAAGAAGCTAAAAGAAATGTCAAAATGTTACCTTCGTGCGTTGCCGGGATCTGGTATATAACGAAGCAAGAAAAAATAACCGGCAGCCCAAAACCAGTATGCTGGGAGGTGCGGAGACGAGCGAGCGAGGGAGTGAAAGGGAAGAAGGGGGGTGGGTTAGAGAGAGGTGGCAGAGAGGGAGAGTAAGGGAGTGAAAGCACCGAACGAAGGTGTGCAGAGAGTAAGTTGAGGTTAGAAAGGGAAAGGGGAGAGAAGTCAGGCGTAGAAAGAAAGGGCCACAGGCGGGTGCAACCGATCAATCGCGCGTTCGGTTCTCTCACCACAAAAAAGGGGGATTCTGCGCTTGGAAAGAGGAAAGGGGGGGGCTACCAGTTCCCAAGCCCATTCAAGCCTCACCCACAAGAAAATTAAAAGTAAACACACCTTGGCAAATGGTGCACCGGACGGGCAGCAACAGGACTGAGCGACTCCCCCCTCCCAACAGAGTAGAGTACCACCCCCTGGCGAACTGGCAACTGGAATTGGAACTGAGCGGTCTATCCAATCAAACTCCTACACGCGGGACCCATCCTCTTTTCTTTTGGGGAGGAGAGAGTAGAATTAGGCATGGTGGTATGAGAAGAGGAAAAGGACCGAATAATTCTCATTGATCTCCGTGATAGGTCAATTGCATCCTCGAATTTCAATGATGTTCAGGGTTGCACTTTTGTTTCCTTTTGTTTTACACGCGTTTGTGGGCGACCTCCCCCCCAGCGCCCAAATCTGAGACAAGATAATTGACACCCTGACCCTGACGAGCCTAGCCCCAAACATTTCAGCCTCTGGTCTTCGCTTCTGCACAATGGACCCCGGCCCTCGCACGGTGTAAAGGATCATCAATGCAGCTTTCATAGGCCATGAGATGAGCTCTATATTTGTCCAGTATGGCCCTTCTCTTCTGCACGAAGCTCACAGGGTATAATTCAATGAGTATCGCCACCAGAGTTCAAACGTCTGTCGAATCCTTCAACAACTGCCAAGATGCGTTAACCACAGCAGACAGCTCCTCATACTAAACTGAACCGATAACGTTTACAGCATCGTGCCTTATCAACAGGTTGTACCCTGAATCGCTTATCTACCAGGGTTTCTTCTGCAACGTTTATGACACCAATAACACCGAGTGATCTCAAGTGACGCAAAGGCCACCACTCACCACCTACTCCCACGACAATACAATACCATGGATATATTAAGAGCACTGCATGGAGTTTCAACCCACTTTCCCGTCGACACGTTAACCACCCATCCCACAAATATCATTTCGTCCGTCCTCACCGGTACGGTGTCCCGTCCACCAAATCAACCTCACTGGACATAATCTCACACCATAATGTCTCTGGAGAATCTCGGAGCCAAGATCTCAAAGAACACATATCTTCTGTCCGCATTAAGTCAGCGTGATCAGTCATCCATTGAGCACCCGCGGGCGAGGCTCAACTCTCGTAAATGCACATAATTTATGTGTA